TCTGAGGCCTGGTGACCATCCTCACAGCAGCGGCGTCTCTGGCTTCCCTTGCAGTCCACCATCTTGGAACTGACCTCAACCCACCTTGGTCTCCATTTGTGTCAACTTCAGGTCAGTGCATTCTGTTTCAGTGGGAGACACACAAAGCCGGCCTCCCTCACGTTCATCTCCCGGAGTACCAAGCCTTTGAGGGTTTGGCAAATGAACCCATCACCCTTCCAGCCCCTCTCTCCTTTCTGGATCTCAAATATACTCCTGTTCACCCTTGATTGAAGGTGGAGAATGTCAGAGATGGGAAGGCGTTAAAGGCTAGCTGCTCAGGCTCTTGTTTTCCTCCAACCTTCCCTTTTTTTGGGGGTGGGGGGCAGGGGACGAGATCTCACTCTGTCACCCAGGCTGGAGTGCAGTGGTGCAATCTTGGCTCACTGCAACCTCCGCCTCCTGGGTTCAAGCAGTTCTCCTGCCTCAGCCTCCTGAATAGCTGGGACTACTGGCACATGCTACCACCATGCCTGGCTTTTTTTTTCTTTTTTTTTTAGTACAGACAGGGTTTCACCATGTTGGTCAGTCTGGCCTTGAACTCCTGATCTTAAGTGATCCACCCACCCTGGCCTTCCAAAGTGCTGGGATTACAGGAGTGAGTGAGCCACTGTGCCCGGCCTCAATCTCCCTCTTTAATTAGGGAGTGTTAAAAAGCAGGAAAACAGAACAGCAGGCAGCATGTGCGCCCCAACTGGGCAGCCTCCCCATGACTAACGCACGGCCGATCTGTTCCATCTCCAAGCCCCCAGCCCCTCCACCATGGCTCAATCACCAGCCTCGCATCTCACAGGTGAGGGCATGGGGTTCTCAGATGAAGCGACTTCTCTAGGCTCCTGCCACCGCTAGCAGAAGGCTGGGGTGCAGGCCTGGGCAGTGCGTCCGCCCCCCGCCACCTGCCTACATCCTTCACACTTTCTGTCACAGCCACACTCTTTTTGTGCTATTATTTAATGTTTTTCTTTAATAGTCACACTTTTTCACCTAAATAAATTTATTTTAAATGGACACTTTGTATCACTCCTGTAAATGGGAAACTGGCATCATTTTCAATAAACAGGTTTCTCTGAGGACGACACAGAGAAGACAAAACCAGCGCCATTTAGTTCCAAGTAGAAACAGGGCCTGCCCCTGGCTGTGACCTCAAGGCTCTTCTCTCTTTTGAAAACAGGGACTGGCGGGAATTGGAGCGACCTTTAGTGCCAGTGGGGACGTTCTCAGACTCGCTGCAAATCGGGAGGATTCAAACAGTTAAAAACCCAGATCGCTTTCTCACAATGAGATTTACCAGGACCACAAATCCATCAATCCTCAGATAGATGCTTTTCCACATTTGAACGTCTCTGCCGTGTGCCGTCTGCCAGCTGGCAGTCACGACGTGCGTGTCACTATCTGCACATGCTCCAACTTGGTCATAGCTGGTCACACTGTCGTCACTTCGCATGAGCTATGCACATCGTTCCTACCGCTCGGGGTCAGTTTACTTGCCTTTTAAATGTCTCCGGAAAGATGTGCGGCACTGAGACAAAGGGTCATTATGTACCCGATATCCTCAATTCCATCTTTTCTTGCAATGCAACGAAGAAACAAGTGTCTTACAAGACCAAAGAAAGGAGGATAGGGCAAGTCAATGGAGCCGTGTGCTGGTCTGTTACTGGGAGTGGTGTAAACGGATCGCCTATCACAGGCTAAACAACAAGACTGAAGGCAGGAGAAATGACTACTCCCTTGGAATAGATGAAAGAAAACGTCAAAGCAATGAAAGGCTGGTGCGACGGATTCACGTGTCACACAGGATTATCATTAAGACCAGGGTTTAATTGGCAGCATGGATTTATTAGTGGTTCGTAATCATGTATCTTAGGAGCACTGGCATCTTGAATTTGACAAAGCAGGTGTGGGATTTAATCTACGGCCACCCCTGGTCTGGAAACGTCCAGCCCTACCCCGAGTGTCCCTCCCACTTCCCCAAATGCCCCTCCCACTTCCCCGAGTGCCCCTCCCACTTCCCCGAGTACCCCTCCCACTTCTCCGAGTGGGCCATCAAAGCATGGCCATTTCTCCTGGGCAGAGGCCTTAGGTGCCAGTGCATGTGACAGTCACCTGGAGGTTGCTAAAGATCAGGTTGCTGGACCCCACCCTGGAGCATGTGTAATTCTTTCTTTTTTTTTGAGATTGGGTCTTGCTCTGTCTCCCAGGCTGGAGTGTAGAAGCGCAGCCTCGACCTCCCGTGCTCAAGCGATCTTCCCACCTCAGCCTCCCGAGTAGCTGGGGCTACAGTCGCACACCACCATGCCTGGCTAATTTTTTTCGGTATTTTTTGTAGACGTGGGGTTTTGCCATGTTGCCCAGGCTGGTCTTACACTCCTGGGCTCAAGTAATCCACCTGTCTTGGCCTCCCAAGTGCTGGGATTACAGGTGTGAGCTACCGCGCCTCACCTGGGGATGTGTATTTCTAATAAGCTCCCATGGTGGCAGTGCTGCAGGTGGGACGCCACGTGGGCAGGCAGTGTCCTAGAGGCCTCAGCAGTAAACCCTCTCCATTCTCTGGCCCTTTTCAGCCAGGGGTCGGGGGAAGGCTGGGTGGTACCAGAAGCCAGGGAGGACCCACTGGTTTTTCTGGACATCTCAGAAGGCATCATCTCTCTTGACGCTTTGTTCATGGCAAAGAGAACATTGTTCTAGCATGGGCCTGGCCAGGCGGGCTCTGGGCGATGCCACCACCCTCCTCAAGCCCTTTACCAGGTCAACAATCTTCACAGAAACAGGCTATGGCTTTAAAAGTTGGCGCTGAGGCATTGAACAAAGTCGGGAGATGGGGCTGGGATCAAGTCACAGTAATATTGAGGACAAAACCTGGGACCCACAAGCCGACACCCACCACAAGCCGAGTGCTGCTCACGCGCGTCTGGCCGGCTAACCTGGGCGGGTTCCTTTCCCTCTGGGGTGTGCGTGTGACTGGTTTAGTAAAAAGAAACTTCTGCATGCTCTTTTTCTCAAAAAGAATCATCCATTTTTCAAGCCATCACAGTGTCTCTGAAATAGAGGATCTGCCAGCACTGCCCTCTCCCCGGCAAGCAGGACACAGGACAGTACCTGCTCAAAAAGAACCACCCTGTGAACATGGGACGTGCTGGTTTCTGTTTCCTCAAAGGGCCCAGGTCCATTACGGGTTCACGAACTGAATGTGTAGTTCTTATAAGGTGCTGTAAGAAACAAGAGACAAAGTCTTGTCCAGGGTACAAAAGGTTTATTGCTTATAAAAATAAGTTACCAAACCCAAAACCCCACAAAACACAAGAACCCTGCATGACGATCACCATGAACACAAGGGCTCATTCCAGTAACAGCTCACAGAAACGACAGACAAGCACGGCGGCCGGAGGTCAGCTCACCAGCACTGCCGACACGCGGACGAGGAGCATGCTGCACAGCTTCCTTCTACCAGCTTCTAGAAAAGTCTTCTTTGCCTTCAGTCTACTGGCTAGTGGCAATAATTAGTCCCATCAGCCACAGAGGGGGCCTGCTCTTCGAGAGTGGCCTCAGCACACATGGTGCTGTTTTATGAAAGGGAGGAGCGGCTGTACCCATCTGGGCAGCGAGGAACCAGCTGAGCCTTCTGTGGGCTTCCTGCGTGTCTGGGAAGGTGCCGGATGGGGTCTGAGGCTGGGGCCAGCGTGGGGGCTACTGCCGGCAGGTGTCATGGAAGGCTTCGAGGGTTCGGAAATCCCTCCACGTGGGGGGAAGGCCGTCCTGCAGAAACTTCCCGCAGCGCTGGCACGGGGCCTGGAACAGCTTTATGTAACTTCTTAACCAGGTCTAAAACGAGAAACGAGGAGAGAAGTGAAAGAATGGGATACGGGTGCTCCCAAAGTCCTCCTTCCTATCAAGCCTAATGGCCCAGACAACTTAAGTTGGCTTTGGCCCCAGAAGACGCCCCGTGATTTCACAGGGAGCAGCAGGCGGAACCCACAAGGTCACCTGACTGCTGATGTTCACTTGTGATGCTCGCGTGCCCCTCCCAACCGAGGGGGTTTTGAAAATAGCAACCCCTACTCTCAAAAGCAGGAAGGCCTCCCTGGAGTCCCCGGGAACCACCGAGCAGCCTGGCGTCTGGGGGCCAGCACCCCGCTTTCACTTTCTGGGTCTCATGTCTTCTGAATGTCAGTATCCATCCTCTTCTCCTTGCCCACCACTAAGAGCGGGCTGTGGGTGTGTGCTAAGGAAGCCTTGGAACTGAGGACAATTTCAGATTTCTCCGAGGAGGTCAACATGCCTTCTAGCTAATCTGATTTCGGAGGTCGTCACTCACTGTTACAGTATGGCCTGACACACTGGGGGGATGGGTGGGGACAGCTCTGGTGCCACTAAATAACATCATAAGCAGCAAATCCACACTTGAGTGGTTCAGAGTGCAGAGTGCAGAGCTTTCTTGGGCGTCATACATAAGGATGAGTCTCCCTTAACTCAATTCTCAAACCCAAGGAGATTCACTACCAAAGAAAAAAATACCCAAACCCCAAACGGAAGGCAAGCAAGTTCTCGCTGTGAAAGGGGCACACGAATCTTGTCATTTCATGTCCTCCTGAATTATGTCTATAAGAGAAAACTGTTATTTGAAGAGGTCGGCCGAGCTTATTGATACAAATTCTTCCATCTCCATCTCCACCACAGCTGCCTTCATGGTGACAGGGCATGGCTCATCAGTACTGTCCCCCTTTCCAAAGGCCAGGTGGTTGGGGGTTTTGGCAATAAACACGAGGTCACGAGGTCATTCAGTTAAACTACTTATTCTTCCCTAACTAGCAGAAGTTCTGTCTCTGCCACAAATAGTACTTATGTCTGTGCCTCAAATCAATCAATCAACAGATTGGTATTAATTGGCTGGTGTGGGCTAAGCACAGTGCTGAGTGCTGTGACAGATGAAAAGAGTTTTTTTTTTTTTTTTTTTTTTAAGAGGCTAGACCTCACTCTGACACCCAGGCTAGAGTGCAGTGGTGCAATCAATCATAGCTCGCCGTAACCTTGAACTCCTGGGCTCAAGCGATCCTCCTGCTTCAGCCTCCTAAGTGGAGTCACTGGGATTCAAATCTTCCCTGAATCCCAAAGTCAGTTACCAAAGGGAAAGGGGGCATTACAACGTGTTAGGCTCAAAAGCACGTCTCTGCAGCTATCTGAAATTGGAGCAGGAGAACCGTTCCCTGGACACACAGAAGGACCACTCCGTGAGGAGCTCTGAGCACCTGGCCGTGTTGTGCCCAGTCTGCCACCATTAGGAAGCCAATCAACGCACCAGGGATGTGTCTTCCGAGGAATGAACTCCAGGCTCTCTGAGCAGTGGGACCGTTGATGCCCATGTGATGGATGAACACTGATTTGGCCTTGCTAACAGGTGAGTCTCTGGAGTCGGTTCTCTAACCGGCAGACTTTCTAGCATGAAGAAAACAGGGAGTCCCGGTAGCGGTGGACTCTGGGGTCTGCCGGCGTGAGAGCACGCGGCTGTGTGAGCATGACGGTGCAACAGCTGGCTACGTCTGTCAAGGATGCGGGGGACATGGTGTTAGCCCTGCTTAGGCCAACTGGTGGCCGTGTGATAAATGCTGATCAACTGGCCCTGGGGTCGGGGAAAGTCCTGACTTGCAGTGTTTGCTGATTTCCGTGGCGTCCACACTCCCACCAAGTTTGATTTCAAACTAGTAGTGGCTGAAGAACCAGCTCGCAAGACTCTGAACAGGCACTGGCAGGAGCCGGCTGCAGCACACCACGGGAATGGCTGCTTTGCGGCTGCTTCCATCTCCAGCTCCAACTCTGAAAATCGAAGGAGTAAACGTCTTGGGGAACTGCACGATTTAATTCACTGCGACATACAGGGCCTGGCTCAGATTAGGAGCTCAATGAAATATCTGTGGACTAAGTCAATGCTGGGAACTATTTTGGAAGATCATTTCTGAAAACACTGCATTTTCAGCAAGTAGAAGAAAGCACTAGTGAATGAAGCTGGAAGTGGTTTCACCCAGATCCCTTCCCAGTTTAAAGAAAGTAGCAGTTTTAAACTGGCAGCCCCATCTCCCACTGGGAGGCCCTCAAAGTCTGAAGATGCAACGGCTGCCCTTCAAGCTCCCTGTTCTCACTTGAAGGGAGCCAAGGTTTAAACAGGGGACCTGACTCCTGAAGCCACTTACCATGAAGGATCGAACCACGACATCCGGCATCTGGGGCAGCTGATAGTGGAGCAGGGCAGTGGTGGCGTGGTCTGTCACCTGAGAGTGCAGGACAAAGACTAGTCAGCGGCCACTCCCAGCCGGCATGGAGAAAACAAGCAGGACAAAGGCACGCCTTCTGTGTGAAAACAGATCTGAGTATTTTGTGGAGGAAAGGGCATCTAAAATAGAATCTCTGTAGAAAAACTCGTTAGCAGAGTCGGGGAGTCAGAGGGGGAGAAGGGGCATGCTGTCGGCAGAAAGGATGCGGGCCTGGAGGCAGGGGGAGTGTGGACGATTCCAGCAACTGAAAGCCTGGCCAGGCTGGAGCACTGGCAGAGGGAGCAGCCAGAGGCCAGTCGGGGCAGATCCCGGAGAGGATCCCAAGCCTCCCTGCTCAGCGAGGCGCGGCACACACAGGACATAGGCCAAGGAGCACTTCCGCCTGGTACACACACTTCCTCTTCCTCCTGGAACATTTTTCCCAACAGGGCAACTCTTTCTGTTTCCTTGAATTCTCATTCTGTCACCATTTGTAGCCACACAGGATTTATGATGGGGAGCCTGGCAGTTTCTAAGGCTGTTCTGTTGGGCCTCACCACTGCTAGGAGGGCCCTTCGCAGGAGCTGGGCGCGCCTGGTGTGGTCCCCTCACCAGCTCCCTGAAGGCTGTGGCCTATGGTCAGCACCCTAGGGGTCTGCATCCATTGTCTCCCGACTCCTCAGGGGAAGTTTATCAGCAAGGCCAAGGGCAAGGCTGCTTGAGGTCCACTGGAGGCATCAGGTGACCACATGGAAAGAGCACAGGGTTAAGCTGCGGCACCACCCCCTGACCTTGATCCAGCTACTTATCCTCTCTGCATCTCCATGCCCCTTCCGAGAAGCAAAGGGGCTGGCCTGAGAACCCTGGTGGTTCTGAAACTGTATGACACTGTGAATTGTTAATGCCTGCCATCAATCAGCAAATGAGCAGATTATACCTAATTTGATAGTCATGTTCAAAGTAATGGTTTACATGATTGTCCTCATTAGGGATTCTTGACATCGCACATGTCATCATTAAAAACAAAACAAGCCGGGCACGGTGTCTCATGCCTGTAATCCCAGACCTTTGGGAGGCTGAGTCGGGGGGATCACTTGAGCCCAGGAGTTCAAGACCAGCCTGGGCAATAGAGCAAGACCCCGCCTCTATAAAAAATACAAAAAATTAGCTGGCTGTGATGCCACACACCTATAGTCCCAGCTACTTATGAGGCTGAGGTGGGAGGATCATTTGAGCCTGGGAAGTTGAAGCTACAGTGAGCTGCGATTGTACCACTGCACTCCAGCCTGGGCGACAGAGACCCTGTCTCAAACAAAACAAAATGAAAAAACCACACCTAAACCAAAAACCCAAAAAACTCCAGAGAAAGTCCTTAGCTTTGAGAACAAGAATGAACACAGGTCTCACTTGTGCAGACGTAGCCATTTTCTAGCCCCCAGTGAACGCTATGTACGCGGCTGAACCCATGCAGGGGTAGACCAAGCTGGGCAGGTGGAGACCAGGGTCTGGGCCCCGCATGGCGACATGTGTCCACACCTGCAGCTAGAGAGGCTGCCCCACAAAGTGTGAGGACACCGGCTGTGCAGCCAGGCAAGCCGGGGCCTGGCCCCCTGGCCTCTTATGGGGCCTCTCTATAGCCTCAGTTTCCCCCTCCATAAAATGGAGATTGTCTCACATATTGAGTAAGGCTGGTGAGAGAACAGCGTGAGGCCAGTCGTGGCAAGCACTCACTCTCTGGCAATGCCACCAGTCCCGCCTGCCTGGTCTCCTCTTCTGCTCTGCCTGGGCCCTGGACTTGCCCTATTTCCCACTGGACTTTCACGGCCTGCCCGATGGCTGGTGAGCCCCACCAGACAGACGGTCAGCTCCACGGGGCAGGAATCATGTCTGCCTAGTTCATACTGCATCCCCGAGGCCTAGGATAATACCTTGCATACAGCAGGTGCCCAATACATATTTGTTGAACAAAGAAGTAAACTTAAAAACGCCCACTCACCAAAGGCCATGGACCACAAACACCTGCACTTTCTTGCAAATACATCAACAGTTCATGTAGCCAACACTGCTGAGAAATTCTTACCCAAGTGGCTTTCAAGATAAATGGTACTTATTCCTTCGAATGCCAAGACTGCTTTTATTTTAAGCATTTTTGACAGACAGCTTTCTAAAATGAGCAATGCTTTTTTTTTTTTTTCTTTTAAACAGTAGTAATGATAACTTTGCAAAATGACTGGTGGTAATTGGTGGGGGGAAATTAACGGCTACAAAACACAGCAAAGCAAACTGGGCTCGAACGGTCCGTGAACTTGAACGCTCGGTTCTTGCCCATCTAGCTCCCATGCTAAGAAAACCCGTGAAAGTGCCATTTTACGGGCTGACAAGATGTCTTTTGCAATTATACTTGCCATTACAGAAGAACTAAAGTTTTTGGAGAATTCTTTCTTCTCACCCCATTTATTTTTAAAATGTCTCCAGTGTAGCTCCTGTTGGAACAGCCGAGGCAGCTGGGCTGGCTTTGTTTGCTCTGGCCCTGCTGTTCTATAGCTCAGGTGTGACACCTTCCCCGCCATGGGAACGTCGGTCCCTGGGAGGCCCCTGGGGTGAGACCGCCTCTGTCCACTTCGGCCTTGTAGCCACGTGCAGGCGGAGAGGCTCTGTCTGGCTGCACTTTTCTTTCTTTTGTTTTCACATTTTTAAACACAAATGACCAACACTTAAAATTCGGGAAACTTCACTTAACCATGGTGCCCAGCTCCTCTTGAAGCACTGGAGGATCTGGGGACCGTCTCACAGGCTACTGTGAAGATTAAACGGGGCCCAGCGTCTCCCCATCTGTATGTGTGACCCTGGCACTGCCACGTGGCCACCAGCTGCAGCAGCTGAGGGGCGGTGACAAGTGCAGTTTGCCTGAGCACCCTAGGGTCTTAGATCCAGCCTGCTCCACTCATCAGGAGACCTGCCTGGCCCCTGTGGCCTTTGGAGTTTACAGCCTCTAACCAAACCAACAAGAGCCTGCACCCCCAGGATTCCCCAGACCCTCCCCAGCCTGCTGTTCCCTGGGCACCTGGCCTGGCTTCCTGATCTTTATTTGAGCTCATCTTCCCTGGCCTGACAGATCTGTGCCCATCTCCTCGTCCCTTCCTCAGCTGACCTCTGGACTTGACCTCCTCTGGCTGAACTTGAGTTCTCCAAGCCAAGTTCCAAGACAACTCAGTTTTGATAACTGCAAGGTGCTCTCTCCAGGCAAGGCATCATGTGAATTACAGGAACATTTCGAGTGGTCTTCCGGACCTGCACCTCCTCCAGCATTTTTGCTAAATGGCCTTTCACCCAGAGGCCCAAGCCAGAAACCTGGGCCCCGCCCTGTCACCTGTCTTCCCCCTGCCTCATACGTGGTTCCAAGTTATTTATCTCAAATCCTTCTACTTCCCACCTTGCCTGCCTCATCACGGCTCAGAGGGAACATTCTGTAGCAAACAGGGAAAGAGCATGGGCTCCATCCATTCCAGCAGCGACGCCTTGGGCGAGGCACTTCATCTTTCTTTGCTGCAGTTTTCCCATCTGGAAAATGGGGATAATGACAAAGAGCGCCTACCACAGGGGATGACTGTGAGAATGAAGTAGTGGGCAGAAGTGTGTGCTGGTCAGAAAACATGAGTGATTGCCATCGTTCAACCAGAAACCCAACTATGTCAATCCTCTAAAACCCTCTTATGGCTTTCCCTGAACTCAGGATGAAATGCGAACTGTGAACGTCCACGTGAAACCCTGCAGCGCCCGGTGTCCGCCTCCTTTCCTCGGGTCCCTCAGCTCCTCAAATGCCCATCTCTGTCCTCCCTGAGTCCTCCCCTCGGCGTGGGCCTCTCTCCCTTCCCTCCCCTCCTTCGCATGTTGAGGGAAGCCCCCCAGGCTCTTCCGATGGGGCTTGTCTCCTTGCCTGGCTCTCTTCTCCCACCTCAGTCCTCATATCTGAACTTGGTATTTTTTGCCATGTGTGTTTAGTGTCAATTTCCCTACCTTGAGCCCATGTCCATCTAGTGCCTGACACGGAGGTCCTCAGTACATGTGTGCAGATGGAGAGAAGGGCCCCCATTCTGACTGTCTGCGGGGAGAGTGGCTCAGATGAGGTGGGTGGCGCCAGGGGCCTGGAAGGAGTGGGGACTGGACAGGAGCTAGGACCTGGGCTCTGGACTGCCTCTAAGGTTCTGGGGCATCTTGGACTTGCCCTCTGCGGTAGAAGTTACCAGCGGTCACTTGTCCTTGAGTGACACAGCCCCGTCAAAACTCAGGATGGGGATGTAATGTGAGGAAGAAATGAGCTTGAGGCACGCAGAACTACAGCAGGTTTGTCCCTCAGCATCCTCTTCCTCTCTCCAGACCAATCTGCCGCCTTGGATATTCACTGCACATCTAGAAAATGGGCCATAGTGTCGGCCAGGTCTCCCGATCCCGTTACAGTGGTGGCACAACAAGTTCAAGCTGTGGCCAGGGAACTTTCCCCTTGAGAATGGTGCTGCTTGAAATGTTTGGGGACCAGCGGCGCTGGCACCATCTGGGAGTTGGTTACAAATCTGCCTTCTTGGGCCCCTCTCTTGCCACAGCATTGGAATCTCCAGGGTGGGGCCCAGACACTTTGTCAGCCCCTCCAGGCTATTCCTAGGGATGCTAAAATGGGTGAGAATGCAAGGCCTGTGAGTGCACAATCACCAATCACCGGGGGTCTTGTCAGATTTTCATCTAGGAACTTGGGGAGGGGCGGAGCATCGGCACTGCCAGCCAACTCCCAGGGGTGCCCATGCTGCTGGTTAGGGACTGGGCTTTGAGTGGCAAGGCTGGGGCATATCCCAGGCACTACAGGAGAATGGCCCCCAGAGGGTTAAGCATTTGATTCTGGGCCATGAAACAAAGAAATACAAATCAGAATGACAGTCTGTCTTTCTCATGAATCAAAATGAATGGCACCCCCCGAGTTTCACGATGGGCACTGTGGGGTGCCAGGGTGGAAGGTTTTCACAACGGGTGCCTGTAGAGTGGGGGGTTTCCTTATTTCTGAAAAGTGCTTTTTTTTTAAAGACCCATCAGATATTTTATTAACTT